TATATATATATTATATATAACAGTATATATAAATATTTGTTTCTACTTGTAAATTTAAAAAATTAATTAATTAATTGTTAATTTATAGATCTTCAAAGAACAATTTCGAAATCTCTTTTCTTAATTTTTGTTTGCTCCTCCTTTAACAATATTACGTAAAAGTTATGATTTATTAAGATATTTAATAAATATTTTATTATATTTTCCGTATAAAAAGTTTTTAAAAAGTTTTACTTTAATAAATTATTATTATTATCTAGAATTTTGACGTTCACGTACAAAACGTGATTATCAAATTATTAAATTTTTTAAAAACTCAAATAAAAATTATGCATTTTTAAAACTGAAATAAAAGTTCAGATAACGGTTAAATAAAGATTTAAAATTTTTAAAAACACTTCTTACAGGTTCTATGCACATTGCAACCTTTCTACTTATGTAAAATATAAGTATGTTGGTAAACAGCCTTAGCTAGACACTAATTTATAATAATCTATACAAAATTTCTTAAATTTTATATAGATGTAAGATTTTATATAAGTCTTAGATCTATAATTTTTCAAATTAAAATTTTTATATATTTTTTACTTATATTTCCATTGAAACTGAATTAAATAATTTTTAAAAAATTATATTATAATCTTCTTGAGTTATATTGTTAATAATTACTGTTAAAAATATTGCTTTCTTTATCGATAATTAAATTATCGATAAAGAAAGCAATATTTTGAACAGTAATTATTTAAATAAATTAAAACAAATCTTTTAAATCGATCAATTTAAACGTTATATACTCATCAACTTTATGTATTATAATAGAATTTATAGTATTTAACGTAAAGATTGATTCATAGTTGTAAAGTCGACACAATGATCAGAATGAGAACTCATTATATGAATTGCACGTAGAACATTTTACATTTTAAGCACATGTAAACGACACACGACAACCTGGTTAACGTTTACAATCGATTACATTCCATATACAGTACAATAAATGAGCTGTATATAAGTAACTAATGCGTTAAAAATTCATAAAATATGCATTCTATATTGTACAAAATGCTTAAAAAATTATACTTTATAGAATTATATTCTTATTAATATAAACATTACATGTTCTATTAGACTTATATGAGTGGTTTTAAATTATAAAAGACACTTATATGATCTGTGTTCGCAATGAATCTATATAACTCATTTTATGGACTAAATAAAATCCATATAAAACCTTTATTAGACTTATATAAATTATTAAAGATATTTCTTATATATATATATATATATTTTTTTTCCTTTAAAAAATTAGAAGGCTTATACAAGTTTAATGTAAAATTACATAAGAAATATCTTTAATAATTTATATAAGTCTAATAAATGTTTTATATAAATATTTATATATGTGTGTGTGTGTAATAAACTTGCAAAAATACTAATTAGTTTATTTAATATTAACTCATATTTTTATAAATACTGTAAAGCACTTTAATTTAATTAATTGTAATAATAACATATTTACAGTAGGGGAGACCGGGGCAACTTCGGCATGCGGGGCAAGTTTGTCAAGCGCTTTTTTTTAAAAACAAATTAAAAGGAGACTTTGGTTATAGGTTAGGCAGTTGAGTTTTATTGGTGGCTTGTTGAGTGTAGTGTTTTTATTGTTCTCCAACAAGCGTAGTTGAATTATCAAGCAAATTTTCATTTTCGTTCAATTCCATATAATATTTTTTTTCCATTTATATTGAATTGGCAGGTTTTGTTATAATTCCATGATAACGAAAGTTACTTTTCCTGTTAGAAGGATGTAACTTCAACTTATTCACGTGGCCAGATCGTGGCTTGGCATTCTGTTCTCAGGGTTGTACTTAATGTTTCGAAATCATGACTAGCGGGGTAAGATCGGCAACATAAAGCCACATTAGAAGCAAAGGATAAAAATCAAACAGATGATAAATGAAAACATGTTTGCATTTGTTATTCATGTATATATGTCTTTGAACTTGCATTTCGTTGTAATAATATTAAATGGGTGTTGGATTTGTATTTCTTTGTTTTAATAGTGAATTCCAACTTATACATTGTTAATAACATAATTTTATATACGTGCCTATCTTGCCCCATTACTGTTGCCCCTATACCAGGGGCAACTTTAATAAAAATAATTAAAATAATTACAACTTTACAAAAAGAGAGAAGTTGCCGATCTTGCCCCTATACCCGGGGCAACTTCGTCAATTTCTCTCTTCTTGTAAAGTTGTAATTATTTTAATTATTTTTATTTCCAAACTGATTTTAACCAGTTCTATAGTAAGGTAACATTCCAATAGACAATATGCAAAGCTTTTTTTTCAGTTTACAGCAGTATTTATTACACAAAATTTAAGTAAAGCTTAACATGCCGATCTTGCCCCGGTCTCCCCTATATTGATGACGTTTACAAACGAATTTGATAAAAATAGAAAAATTTAAATTTCAAAAAATTTAAATAATTTCTTTTAACTAAAGAAAAATTATTTAAATTGGTTATTTAAATAAATTCTCAATTCAGTTTCTTTTTTTTAAATAGAGAAATATATTGATATGTTTTATTAATAAATCATTATTTTTTAAACTTTTTTTTAAAAAAAAATTTCAATCAAAAATTTAAAAGATGCAATTAAATTAATTTTATTTTATTTTTAAATTTGTGTTTACAATCATATCAAGTTGTCAATTCATTCCTGAGGGAAATATGTTTTATAAAATATTTAATCATTATATATATAGCATTATGAAAAATTCACTAGAGAGTTTATTAAGTCATTTCTGTTTTTTAAAGGAAAAAGTATTTTATACATAGTGTAAAATATAAGAAAACTGAATTTTTAATTTAAAAAAGTATATATTTTCTCTCTTTCTTCAAAACATACGTGTTCCTTATATGAATAAATCATTTTAAATATTTAATTTTAAAAATATTAGTTTTATTTTAGATTAGATTAATATTTATTTTATTTTATTTCCTACTTTTTACACAGCGAACCCTTTCAAAATACAATGATGCCTCGTACTTGGATTTTATTTATTTCAGGAAACCTTTCAAACTCTAAATCGAAGTCCGAATCAATTTTTCCTCTTTATAAATAATGCTAAGCGAATTAATCCATTCTCAGACCCTAAACAATACCCATTTTCATAAACTTAAAATAGCCAACATACATAATTTATGGTAAAAATAACACAATTAAATGTCCTGATAATAAATTTAAACATGAAAAAAATAAATAAAACCATAAATTCTAGCGTTGTAGTCGTGCCAGGGCGTACCAGGACGCCTTCCTCGCACTTTTTCTAAAGCAGGACGAAGCTCTTGTATTGATACTTTGTGAACATTTAAGCTGGATTTTAGAGTATGTACCTCGGCCAAAAACTGAGAAAATTACTTCTTTACAATGTTTTTACGCTGAAGTATGAATATATATGTTATTTTGGCTCATTTAAGCCGTTTTTCAGACACAAAGTTACGCTTTGCCCAAAGTTACGCGTCTTCACAGACAGTGGCGATTCAAACTCAGGGCGCCAGTTAGCGCCCTGGCACTTTTTAATTTACGACTACACCCCTGGTAAATATTGTATAATAAAATGAAAATTGCATTAACTGGTCACACACCGTCGACTTCGGCATCTTAAACATGGCCGCTAGATGTACTGCTTCCACGCTTTGCGATAACTTCCTTTTTGACCTCAACCGGCGATAGAATAAGCTTCCTCTTAGACTTCGTTGCTTCCACACACATCTGGGATGCCATTGTTAATAAATAAAAGTTATATTGAGTTGAACAGGTAGTTTTTGCGTATTTTTGACAGCCGTCGTTATTTAATACAGATATATGATTTAATTATAACATTTATTGCCAATTTGATATTGTATTCTTTGTTCAGAAGCATATTTCAAACTTTTTACTTCACATTTTGTTTAAATTAAATCAAGTGGAAATGTCCTCGAATAAAAAGCAAATCGGACATATTACACTTTACGAATTTCTGAAAGGATATAACGCCGTACAAACAGTATTAAAAAAAATCGTAATTTGTATGAGGAATATGCTCCTAAACTTTCGAGCATGTCAAATGTGGTTTAAAAGGTTCCGTTCAGGAAATTTTGAACTAAAGGCTGTCCGAAAAAAAAGAAATTACAGGAAGAAATTGTTAAAAATCGATGAATAAGACACAATACACTATAGATTATCGAATACATCAAAAATAAAGCGAAAAAAAAGCACTGAAAACATATGAGCGTAACGCAAGAACGAGACTCAGAATAGATTGCGTTTATGCTTTGAGAGCATTTTTTTATTGCGTGTGCAGTTCGAACTTCGAATCGAATTTAGCGTTCGAAGTTCGAAGTACTGCTGTAATGAAAAATCGCGACATTACTAAAATAACCGTGTGAGGGAGCCGCGATCTACTTGTTAATAAGCTATCGATATCAACTGTGTAAAATTTAAAATGCTTAAAATATTAAAAAATAAAAATATTATTTAAAATATAATTATATATTTCATATATAATATATGAATCAGAATTATTTATATTATATTTCCAAAATATATTTTATATTTATTTACTTATTAAAGATAAATATTGATATTACCTTTTCCAAACTTTTCAAGATTTTAATATCGAAAAATTCAGTAAAGTTTGTATAAGATATGGCAAATATTTTATTCTAATATAAAGATTTTAAAAAATTAAGATTCCTATACCTTAAATAAATAAATAAATGTAAGATTTATATTAATAAAACTATATATATATATATATAGGCCTATATATAACTAAATTAATTAAACATTAAAAATTATAAATTTTAATTATCCTTTGCAATTAAATTATTAATTTTATTTTCAATTTGTTTTCTATAAATTTTAAATTAAATGATTTAAATAATTGAGTAAAAATTTATATAAAACTGTATACTTATTGATAATATAAAGAAGAATTGTATAACTTTAAGAAAACTTTTAGAAAATATAATTTCATAAAATGAAATTTTAATAATAAGAGAATTTAATTAAGTAACACTTTGTGAAATTAAAATCGTTTATTCTAATATTCATATATATATATAAATTTAAAATTTCTCTATATATTGTTAAAGTTTAGTCATTTAATGACATTAAAAGCCGTCTCTAACGCTATCTTTTACTAAGGTATTAATTTATTTATAAACTTTAGATTAATTTACAACAAAAGATCATATATCTTATAACACTTCTATAACTAGATACTAACTGGAAGCAAATGTCTGATGAGTTGAAATTTTAGAATCGATGATAAGCTTGGTTACTTGTTAAATTTACTGATTTGCAGAAAATAATTAAATATAATTTTACATCATTTGTTACGCGCCTTTATAATATTCTTCATCAATGTTTATTAAAATAATTATAAAAGTATGCATTCATTAATTAATTTAGTTTAATATTTTTTTATAGATTTAAATATTTGTTCCTCAGCAATTGGCATCAGAAGAAAAGAATTCACTTTCCTCAATTAATGATTCGTTATTTACAGTTTAATAATGTACAGAACATATCCAGTGGGTCGTGACCTATTAGCTGGGAAATTTATCGTAAACAAATGCTTTAAGTTCAAGAGAAAAAAGGGGGACTAGAAAAGAAAGAACAAGAGAAAGAAGAGAAATGATAAAGGAAAAAGAGAAAGAAAGAAAATTTTTCAATCGGCGTATTGAGATTTACACATTGATAAATTTCTTATCCAGTAGGTTGCTATTTACCAATTAGGAAGTTCATTACAAACAACCGTTTCAAATTCTAGAGAGAAGGAAGAAGAAGAGGAAGAAACGGAAGTAGATAAACGAGAAAGAAATTGGTATCAGAAAAGAAGAAAAATTTTCAGTGAGTCGTGATCCACAGGTTGATAAATTTCATATCTATGGTTTACGACTCACCAGTTGAAAAGCTTATTATTATAAAGAAAGACCTCGAGTTCTACAAATGATGCATTAACATTTATTCCCGAATAATGTTACCTTCTTTTAGGTGAGTGCCAACTAAAGAAGGATCCATAAAAGCTAAACTAACGTAAGTCGATCGCTATTTATATGGAAATTAATATTTTTAGATTATCTCACATAGAACATTTTGTTCAAGAGATTACTGTACTTTATGTTGTTATTATTTAATGCAATCAATGGAGTAGAAAGAGTAATTCATTACTGAGTAGAACGTATCCCCATGATATTTTCCTCGATAATAATTTAATAATTTGTCGATATAGTGTTTACTGAATTACATTTATATTCAAATTATATTGTTTTAAACTTATTATATAATCAATTTATTCTTATATAGAATATGTGCCAAAATGAAATTTTTAGTTTCCTCAAAAATGTTCAAATAATTTATTCAAATTAATTAATTCTTTTATAATTTAATAATAAATATAACATTATTTTATTGGAAAGTGTAATAACATTCATTAAAAATAAATAAATAAAATTTTTAAAAATTAAAAATTTAAACAACGTATTTTTAACAACAGGTGGAGCCACTATCAAACAAACGAGCTTTCTTTTGTTATTATTATTATTTTTTTAATAAATAAAAAACATAAAATCTAATCATTTAGATCTATAAGTTGCAAGAATTTATACAAAAACATTAGAATAAATCAATAAATTAAATATTATTTATTATTATATACGATTCATAAATCGTTTCGATATTGCAGAATGCGTGAAAATTTATCGGCATTCACTTCTCGTTTAAAAATACAAAAAAGAAAAAAATAAATAAACAATATGGAGATAAAAATAGAGATATGATAAATAACCTGAACAGCCATAAAATTCACTAAAATGCATTTTTATCGCAACCAGCCGCTCTTGTGTTCAAACAACAATTCATCAATATATAAACACCGGATAATAAACTAAGTTATAAAAATCATCTTATTATAGTTATCTACCTTATTTTTTATATAGTTTGAGGCTAAGTTAGATCGTATTTATATATATATATATAGAAAGAGAGAGAGAGAGAGAGAAAATATATATATATATATATATATCCCTGCAACGTTTGCACTCCAGCGTTACATTTTATCACCAAACTTTTCCTTGGATAAGTTATCGGTTAAAGTGTAGAGTATGACGTGTGAACAGACATTTTTGCCTCAGGAAGAACTGTACGGAAGTTGTATGATCTAGATGTATGAAAAGCGATGGGGTTTGCCAGGCCAAAAAACGTTCTAAAGATCGATTTTTGTGTATAAACTTTTAGAACCTTGCTCTTTTCTATGTCCAGTTTACAGCTCCATTATCTGGAAATTCCAAAGACAGCTGTTACTTGTAACGGTGAATATTATTTCACAGGATCAGCTATCATCATAAAAATAAAATTTCTACATCGTACTAGCTGTTTATAGCCAAAAAATCTTTCTTGAAAAGTCGTAGATTTTCTTTTTTTTTCACTTTATTATAAGAATATTTTACGCGCCTGATTTTATTCCTTATTAACTTAGTTTGATGTAGAATATAATTATTTTTTTTAATTATAATTATTATGTTCTTATTTAAATAATTAATCACATTTTTAATTGTTTGTAGAGAGACTCAAAAGTCGATTAACCGTGTGTTCTAGATATTTCGAATATGAACTCGCTAAATTGTGTGTTTTTCTATACAGAAGTAACAGAAATATGATAGAAAAACAATTGAATTTATCGTACTTTTCAATTAGTCGTAATTCAATGGTTAATTGACTTTTGGTCCACCCTGTATTTATACTAAATTATGCACATTTTTTGTTTTAGTAATTAATTAGTTTTATATAATTGTTTTATTTTTTAAATTAAGTTTATTATACATTAATTGTTACAGCTTATTACAATAATTAATACAAAATTTAAATTGGAGAAGGGAAGAGAGAGATTTGCTTTTAATTGAGAGAATTGCTACAAACAGAATTCCTATTTTAAACAATTGATAATCAACTGAATTAAGAGGATATTAATAAATCCTAACTTTAACTAACAGCAGAATTAATTTTGAATTATAATTAGTCACATCAGTAAATAGATAAGTCGAAACAAACCATAACATAATAGGCAAATTAATGGAGATCAGCGAGTGAAGTAAACTTTGTAAACTCGAATGAAAATATTGTATAATAAGGTTTATATCAAATCAAGTTGAATACATAAGAGTCATAGATTCCCAACAAGTAGACCGCGATCTATTAGAGGTTATAACTAATTCTGAATAATGTAATATGTGGAGCTAAAGGTGGATTATAACTAATTCAATTTAGCGATAAGCTAAAAGTAGCGGTAATTTTAAAAAGATCGAAAGTCACTAATGTAAATTGTCTTAATAAAAAATATTAATGAAGAAATTGCGTTATTTTGATACATAAAAAGTATAACTCACCGATCAAAAAAACACAAAAACTTTATAACTGCTGCATTTTGTAGGAAATCGATTGAGTTATATCTATAGATTATACGTGTTCTTCGACTGAGGTCAATGTTCTGTTTCCACAAATAATTTCTTCCTATCTTTAAACGTTACACATTAACAAATTTAATTCTCAATTTTACTTCTTCTTATCCTCTTTCTATATGAACGAATCAATGTTTCATATAAGTTTCAATATATATATCTATCTCTCTTCCATTGTTGGGCATAGTGCCAATCTAATTGAAATTTAAGAACATTTCTAAATGATAAGAATTGTTATTTTTTTTGCGATTAGTACAGTTTCTACACTCATTTTAATTAACAGAATTTTAAATTTTATGATATATAAATTGCAGTATTGGTATATTAATTTTCATATATGAATTGGACAAATGTATAAAAATAACTTGATATTTCTTGAAGTATTGTTTCTCTGCGTAAATATGAGATTAATTGCTGTAAAAACAAAATTATCTCATTTAAATAAATATTCTTTATTATATTTCTGTCGATTTTGCAGAAGAAAAAAATCTTGGTCTAAATTCAATTTAATTATTCATATTTAACAGTATACTAGAAACAAAGTATAGTTAGCTGACGTTTAGACTAGCCTGTATATATAAAGATATAATTAATTATTTAAGTAAAAACGTAATAACTATAATTAACTAGCAAAAAACAAAGGGTGGTCTAAAAGTCAGTTAACCACTATAAAGATTAAATTGCAATTTATAAACTAATTAGTTTTAAAATATAATTAATTTAATTGTTTTCTTATCATATTTCCATCAGTTTTGTAAATAAAAGCATATTGTATTGGCGACTTATACTTGCAGTTGTACTTGAAACACGCAAAATCAAAACACGGTAAATTGATTTTCGGGCTGTATAGAAATGTATCAAACGTTTTGGTTTGGAAATTAAGGAATTAATTTAATTTATCTGTAAAATAATTTAAATTCGGTTAACATATAGGTATATTTATACATATATAGTCGACATGCATTATAGCGCTTCATTAATCACGTTACAACCATTCTAGTAATAGATAATAAATTACATTCATTAGTTCAGCTTAAACATAATTTAATGCATATACCTAACTTATTAATGTATAACATCATCGGAATCTTAACGGAAAAAACTCCCTAGAAAATAAACAAATAAATGAAAATTAATAAAGGAAAATAGATCGAAGTATAGAGAGATATATATTGTAAACTTTAATTAATTTTAAGCCGATTAAATTTGTTTGATCAAAAATGAATTGTTATGGGAGATTATTATTGAGTTTGGTGAATAAATATATTATCAATCGCTTAGGCACAGTTGAAGGAGTTGAACAGGCTTTCTATGTAGAAATGCCCTGGAGGGTAGATCCATCGAATTTACACCGATCCATAGAGAAAGGAAGATTTCCTCTGGTGACATCAGCAAAACGTGACAGAATAAACCACACCTGAAGGGAAAATTGAAATTTTTTTCCTTTGACTTTTCTGATCGTTTGGTGAACAATCAAATAAAAATTTCTTAATAATTCTATTTGTGAAATTTTACTATTTTAGTAAATATTGTCTTTTTCCTTCTATATCGATTACTCCTGAATTTTTTAAGTGATAAAGTTAAGAATAGACATTTAAGTACATTAATGCTTTAAATTCATTTACGATTTTAGATGCTTAAGCATTAATTTTTCACAGTTTTAAATATCTAGAATTTAAATTTATTTATAAAATTAAGTGCTTTTCTCTCTTAAATTCGTTTATAATTTATTGTTTATACCCTAAATTATGCATAAAGCATAAACATATTAGCTTAATATGTTTATGCTTTAAATGCCTAGATATTAAATTTGTCCACAGCTTTAGATGCCTATATTTTAAATTTAAATGGAAGCGTTAAATGTTTATGTCTTAAATTTATGTACAGCTTATGCTTTAAAAGCCTATACTTTAAATTTAATTATAGCTTAAATGGCTACACTTTAATTGTCTACGTTCTAAATGTATTCATAACTCAAAATTTGTATGCTTTAATGCTATTATTTAAAATGCCTAGGCATTAAATTCTTAGTAGTTTTAAATGCCTCTAATTTAAATCTAATTGCAACTTTAAATGTCTATATCATATTTATTTATAGCTTAGAATTCTTAGTTTTAAATTTACTCATAACTAAATTTATATAATTTATAATGCCTAAACGTTAAATTCACATAGTTTACTCATAATTTAGATTTAATTGTAGTATTCAAAAGTTTAAAATGCTTATGTTTTGAATTCAGTTATAACTCAAATGCCTATTTAAAAAGATCTAAGCATTTAAATTCCTCATAGTTTCAAATTTCTATACCCACAGTTTAAGATATTTATATTTTAATATTTTTATAATCTAATTAAATGCCTATTATTTAAATACCTAAGCATTACATTTTTCAATTTATTTATATCTCGAAACGTCTAGACATTAAAATCACGATAGAATATATCTTTCATATTATTAACAAATTTCAAATATAATAAATATATTTTCAAGAGAAGAAAAAAGGATAATTGATGAGAGAAAGTGTGATTGTTAATTATGTAAAGTGTATTTGTTAAAGATAAGATTGTTAATGTTTATATTTAAAACTTTAATCTTGTTTCAAATTTAATTAATTCTTCCATTTAACTGGAACTTGGCCAAATGGGCCTTAAAGATTTGGGATAAAATTCAAATGAATAAAGCAATTTTCTTTATTTTTATTAATTCCTTTTCGAAATTTGCAAAAGTAGATTTTTTTATTTTTT